AGACGGATGTGTGGTGTCTCTCCCTTTCACACACACACACATACAAACACACACACTCGGAGCTTCACGTGTGAGACAAGGCAGCCAGTGACCCCTCGCAGTCGCAGCCCAAACACAGACAAGAGCTGAGAGGGCATCTGGGAAAAGAGGCGGGAGGGGGAAATGGAGGGTGGGAAAAAAAAACCAGAGGAGTGAAGTGCAGATAAGGTAAGTGTTGGAGGCAGCAGCACTTTCTCCCATTCTAATGGTTTCGACAGGTAAATGACACTTTCAGAGGCTAATTATCTGCATTCAGGGGATCATGTGCACGCTGTCAGAAAGCCTAAGAAAGTAAAAAATGTTCACACTGTGCAAATATAGGCATTCAGAGGTACTGGTCTTGGGCAAAACGGTCCTCTCTTCAAAATATGAAAATTCAAACCAAAAAAAAAAAAAACAATTCTAGGTTTGATAAGATTAGGTAGGATGAAATTTAGCCAAGTTCAACGAACTGCTTAGACAAATTACTTCAGACTTGCTTGCCTTGCACTCACAGCGGGGTTAATTGCAGCTCAGCTGCAGCAGAGCCAAGTGGAAACATTAGGTTTGGCTGAATAACAGGTGAATGCAAAGCAGGTCAATACGTAGTCAAGTGTGGGCCTGCCAGCTGTTCACTCCCTCTGCACCGCCACGGCACAATGGCGACACACACGCATGCACAAACATGTTCCTGATTTGCACACGAGGAAAAAAAAAAAAAACAGGGAGAGAGTTAGAACATGTAAACAAACCAAGCAGTAATCTATTTGTGTTTATGTCTATCTATGTTTTTAATTCAATTAAGTGAAGCAATACGCACAACAATGCAATAAAGAAGCTTTTATGTGTACTATGAACATGAGCAGCTGATTTAACTGTCTAGATAAGGCTTGAATAGTGTCATATAAGATTAGATAAGATAAACTTTGTTTATCTCTTACTGAGGAACTTCATATGTTACAGCAGCTAAAGGGCTTAAAGCATAGGTATAGTGAGGACCATGTACACGTTTTACATTTGCAGATGACAGATATTTTACCTGTTGTCAATAAATCCTACAAAAAACAGACTAAAACGAGCAGTGAATTGTTCCTACTAGCAGGTCCGAGTTATTCCTCGGTGCCATTCATGTCCAGAAATGATCATGAAGCCACACATTCCAGGATTCTTTTAGCTCAAAGGCCTCTTTAGCTAATAAATGCTCCACTGTGATGTTGAAGTTTCACATCACAGAGCAATTTTATCCATAATGACAAAAGTTTCCACTAAGAACAAGTACGTTAATGTCATGGGATTTGTGTGTACAGTGGGAGAAATAGCAAGCAGTGCTTTTAACAGTTGATAACACTGATAAGGCTGCAAAAAAGAAAAAAGCACGTCCTTCACAAAAGCAGGCCTTTTCTGTGCAGGAGAATTTATGTTCTCCTGCCAGTAAGTCTCTGTGTGTGTCTTTCTCTCACTTTTCCCAGTCGCTGTTATGCTTCTCTTTCATACACTAACCTCCTTGTCTGGATTTTTAATCTCGCCTGGTAGTGGTAACAGGAACAAGTTTTTTCGCTGACAGCCTTGTTTCACCTAAAAGCCAAATAAAACTGTCTTTAATTTTCTCTGCCGCCACCATGTTACGGGCCAAATCTCTCTCTCTCTCTCTCTCTCTCTTCAGTGCAATAGCCTGTTTTTGCTCCTCCATTCTCTCTCCCTCACTCTTCTTCAGCGCAAGGCTATGACATTGAGGGAATGTGATGTGATGTATTGTAGTGAATAATGTATTCTGCAAGGATTGTACAGAGCGCGTAGAGCAGATGGCAGCAGGTTGATCTCGATGTGTGTGTGTGTGTTTAATGATGACAGTGTGTATATGTGTGACGTGCGTTTGGGCGTGTGTGTGTGTGTGTGTGTGTGTCCTCACCCAGAATGGGGGAGGGGAAGGGAGTGGGGGTTGGTGTATATGTGTGTCTATGTGAGCCTCCTTTGTGAGATAAAACATGCAAATGGTGGATTATTTTAATGCAGTTTTTTCTAGAACCCCGAGCCTTAATCCCTAAAGCAGTTGAAATGAAAATAGTATATGTTTTCTTTCAAACTCTCTCCCTCCCTGCCTGTTTTTTCTTTTTTTTTCCTCTCTTTTTTTTATATTCCCTGATAGGAATTTACAACTACCAGCTGTCTAGGAACAGGATCCTTTGCACTTTAATTTCTCTCTGGTGTAGTTACAGCCAAAGACTAATGATTACATCTGGATAGCATGGAATCGACTAAAGCTAGTCAGGCTCCAATGGCTCCGATACACAGTCAAAGTATCGTTTTTTTTTTTCTTTTTCTGATTGAGCGGTGATAAAAATGTCGAACGTAAGAATGGAGCTGAATGCTCGGTTTGTTACTCTGAGTGGACTACAGATGTAAAATATGCGCATTTATAAACACTTGCTCGAGCACACTCACATATATGAATGTAAAAAAAAATAAAAAATCCCCCCTCATCCAAAAAAAAAAAAGAGTCACAGAATTGCAACTGGTGCAAATTGCCTGGTAGATGCCTGGCAACTGGCCTGCGATGCTACTGAGGCTAGACGGCACAATAACAAACATGCAAACGTGCTTTTTTTTTATTTTTTTTTATTGTATCCTCCCACACCACGGATGCAAAAATAGAGGAAAAGTCAAGAACCTTTTATATGAAAATGTTTTATCAATAAATCATTGTTGACCGAGGGAAGATATTTGTGAAATATCAAGGCTGAATCAGAGCAAGCAGGAGGGAAGAAGGAAAAAGAGCTTGACATCGTTTTCTCTTTAATATCAGGGACAATGAGCATAATTGAGTAAATGTATTTAAGTATTTGAGCGAGCTGATTCAGCCTCTCTGGGATGGTTCATATTGTACATAAGGCAGAATAATGCCCGAGGCAATTCATTAGTGGTAAATAATTGAGAGGCTCAGATAGTGCTAAGGTAAAATGCCTGTTATTATTTTATGGAGTTTGTGTTCTTCGGGCTCTCCAGTTTAAGACTATTAAAAATGCACAAGCCTTCCCACAAATTACTCACTCGAAAGATTCACAATGGGTGCTAATGACTAACCATCCATCTTCCATTGTTTTCAAGCTCAGTGAAAGTGTTTCGCTGCACCATTATCAATTGTATTTCTGCTTTTGGTAAAGTTCTTTTATTTTATGAAGACTGCTATTTTACCCCCTCGTGCTTTTTACTCATTTTATTTGAGGTAATTAAGGCACATCAGCTGCAGCAGGATACATTCCACTGACATTTCATTCCAACAGATTTCTCTGACTCCCATTTTTGAAAGCTTCTAACTCAAACAGCAGCCTCTCATGCACAGGTGTGATGGAGCCAGTCAGCCAGTATGGATCCATATAGGAAGGTTCTGTGTTGTAGTAGAGTAAACACTGGCAAACAAGCAAAATCTACCTACAGCTATATGTTTCACAGGCTCAGGCAAATGTCATTTCTTACATTAACTTGCATTTAGCAGGTTAGTCTCTGCTGAAAGTAGTTTTTTCTTCGTCTTTGAACTCAGCAGTTTTTTTCTTCACTTCTCTGTCTTTTATTTGTCTCTGAATACTTCTTCACAGAAGGACTCTTATCTGTTAAAAATTGTCACCTTTACATGTCGGTTTTCCGGTGATGCAACTTAAAGGCGACTGAGGGTTTTTTTTTTTTAACATCTCCTACACCCACACGCCACCACGTGACAACCAAGAAATGGGGGAGCATCTAAAGGTCTAATCAGTTATTCACAGCGCTCGATGCTCTATAATAGCATGGTGTGTTTAGCCTGTGGTCTGTGGCCTGGTCTCATGCGCTGTTTGTTCTTAATAAATCAACTGTTGTGTATACTTGTGTGGCATTTTGTAAGATGTTGACACTTGTGGTCGGACTGCTTTTTTAGACATGCCAGCAGCCTAACTTTCGGTAGTTGCAGTTTGGTCAAGAAGAACTTGGTAGACACGTACATTGTCCTCAGAGTATGAATGCAAACCTGTTTCTGCACCTACTAAGTGTTTACTGTCCAGCTTCTCTTGCAACCACAGAATCTACGTTGCCTTCAAGCGCCTGCAGTGTCACAGTTTTAAGTGTCACATTTTCAGAATTTCTTTCTCTCTTTGTCGATTCCCTGATTCGTCATCTAGTGCAGCAGGTTAAAGCTCTCCATCACTTCTAATGTTAGAGCTAATGAGCGAATTCCAGCCAGTTTTAGCATATCAGATAGCCAGAAATCAAAGGTGCTGAGGAGGCGTTCCGTTTTGATTCAACATGGCACCACCCTCAGGCTACACTACAATTTTTCAGCCTCTGATTTCTGTTGTTTAATGAGCATTGCATCTTCATCGGGGCCACTAGTCTGGCTGTGGACTCGCTTTATTGAAGCACCACGTAATGCGCTCTTGATTACAGAAGCTGATGTTTGCGGGCCATATTTATAATGTGAATTCTATTAGATTACTCTCGCAGCTGTTCATAACCCAATCTAGCGCTGCTAGCTGTACATGGAAACAACTCCACTCGTGCCCCGTGATGTTTCCTTTTGGTCTCCAGGAAAAACCCTGGCTCGGTGCCAGCGTTCAGCCCCACTGTCTTGTAGGGGGTTTTGTGTGTTTGCTTGTCAGTGTGGGGAGGTGAGCGTGGGGAGGAGGCGTGTTCGGGGTGGAGGGGATGTCAGCTCATTAACCTCCATTCTTCCCCTGCATAGAGTCACTGTGTAAGTCTCATGTCATTACTCCTCCCCCTGCACGTGTGTTCTGGGCATGAGGGGGGGAAGAGCAGAGCAACCGGAGAAAGGAAAGAGCAGGGGAAAGGTTCAACGGGGGGTTGGGGGGTGTCTTGACATGTTCCCTTTACAAATGCCCTGCTTGTATCTCGCAAACTAAAGCCCCGCAATCTCATTTCCTTCCCCACTTTTTGTCTTCTCTTTTCTGTCTTCTCTTTGTCCCTCCCTGCTGTCTCTCTCTCTCTAACCACAGGCCCGGTACAGTGTGGGTGAACGAGGGGTAAGGCTCCACACTGCCCCCCCTCCAGGCATCAATCCGTCTAGGAAAAGACTGCCCACTGCTGTGGTGAGATACAGTAGCCAAGCCCCCAAATTCTGAACCCCTTTTTTCTTGTTTGTGCTCGCCGATTGATCTGGAAAGGTGTACCTCAAGGTACCCGCCTGGGCCCGGAGGAATTCTGGAGGCTCCAGACTGAGTTGAAATGAAATGTCTCTTCATATTTACTTATTCAACTCATGCAACCCCCTACATGCACATCTACAGTTTTATGCATAAACGTTTCGAGATGTTTTTTTTTCTTTCACACAACACGAGCATGTATGTAGAGATAGCGATTGTTATTGGAATTTACAGCCGTTTCTTAATTGCAGCAACATATGTGTGAAAACAAGCAGAGGTGCAAAATACGCCTCTGTAGTTGTTACAGTCAGGTCACGCTGTGCATGCATCTTGAGAAACAAATTAGCTTTGAATCTGAAAGTGCTGTTGACACCTTTAAAATTAGTCTTGACCAACTATTAAGTGATTCATAAAAGGCTGTATTATTTTGACACAGATTGTGCTAGCAATGCATCTTTTATATTTCGATTCAATTCAATTCAAATAACTTTATTTATCCCCTAGGGGCAATTCAAAATGCATACGTTTTGATGTTGTAATGTCACTTCCTGCATTTTTTTTCTTGTTGAAACTACACTGACAGTCTGTCGGCCTGTCAGATATTATTGGTGACAATGAAGCACACTTCCCTATTTAGTAAGCTGTAAAATTGTTTTTGTGTTACCATGTGTATGTGGTCTTACTTGTGCTATATTTATTTTCTATTTGAAAGTGAACACACCACAACCTGGTTATCAGCAGCTCTATTGTTTTCTGTTCATTCCTGTTCCCTGCTGCATGTTTAACTCCGTTGCATGTCGACACCCATGGAAATACTCCGATGCTCGTAATGATTTATTTTAGTCAAAACAGTCAAACTTCAGGATTTTTTTTTTTTTCTCTCCTTCTCCCTTTGCTCTTTCATACTTCACTCTGCGCACAGGCAAGAGAGCACAGTAGATTGCAATGAGATAACCAATTATATGCTAGAGGAAACCAGACTTTTTTTCTTTTTTTTTTTCCTGCTGCAGTTATCTGATGCTGCGGTGAGCAGAGGCAAAGGGCTGGGGTAATGTGACATTCACTTTGCCCTTTATCTTCTCTCATCACTGTTTACCCCAGTCAGTTAAAAGTGGCTTGTGCTCTGCATCCTCTCATGCTGCCAGAGAAACCTCACTGACAAAGACTCACGTAGAGACATGAACATACTGTACGGACACTCATATCGTACGCGCGAACGTGCGAGTCCACACATACGCGTCCTCACCTCAGACAGTGTAAGTGTCAGGTAGAGCGGTGGGATAACTACTTTCCTCCAAGTAGCGCCCATGTTGTTAAGTATAGTACGACAGCACCTGCTGCGGCTAGCTGCTAATTGTATGTGATGCGATTGCGCTTGATGCTAGGAAGGTGTTTCCCTGCACTGGTTAGCAGGTCGGCCGTTGAAGACCGCCGCAGCAGGATGAGGGAGGCCATGTGGGTGGCACTTTGGTGTGACATGTTTTTTTTTTTCTGTTATACCTTTTGCACGTGTGCTCACACGTGGCTCACGCTATGGTTTTGACCTGTTTTGCACTCTGATCTAGTTACTGTACAGACAGACTGATGATACCGATGATACACAATCAAACTGTCTTTTCACATGGCTGTGAGAAAATGCAGCTATACTTCCTGCAACAAGCCTAATAGGCAAAGAAGCATTCATGTATAGTTGCACTGGGGTAACTTTATTCAAGCGCATTTGACTGATGAACTAAAAGTCTGCAGTAACAAATGCATTGAACAAGTTAAATTGCAACACTGGCTAGCAAAAAGTTGCATCTACGTAGCAGCATTTAAATTCATTTGGAATTATGGTTTCTGCTCACTTAATGAATGTTATGTCAAGTATTTAATATGTTTTGTTCTCCACTGACTCCTGAGGGAAATATCAGGCTGTTTTACTGCAATGTGCTCCACTACAGTGAGGTTTTGGAGGTTTCTCTCTGAAAAGAGTTGCCTGCTCTGGCACCAATGAGAGCTGTGAGAGGGAAATAGTAAAGTTGTGTCCAGGAAACAATGAAAACAAGGAAAACAATGAGCTGAAAGGAAGAAAAAAACAAAACAAAACGCATAACTGAGAACTGAGGGTGGGTTCATATAACCCATTGTTATTATAAAAAATGTTAATTACAGCTTCTTTCAATGAAAAAATGGGACCGCAAAAGAAAAGTTGAGACGTAGCGCATTAAAACTACAGGTAGTATCAACAACAACAACGTGTGTATTGTGCAGTATGACAGTTATAATACCATAAATCATAAATAAGAAGAAAAAAAAAGAAAAGAACAACAAAAACAGTCTCCTATCTGCTCTGTGTCAACACAGCCTGCTGTTTAGGACAGTTCTCTTGAAAAGAAAAACCAAAATTTTTGTCATGTGACTGTTGGTTATAGCTGAGTAACTAATAGCTTCACTGTGGCAGCGAAGAGTGCAAAATTTTTAGCTTTTTACAGAATTTGGAAAAAGCAAATGGTTTGTTTTTGGCAAATGTTAAAATAAGGCATGTAGGGGCGCCGCTATAGCTCACCTGGTTGAGCTGGCGTCCCACATGCAGGGCTACAGTCCCAATGTGGAGGTCATGAGCTCGAATCCCGCTCATGGCCCTTTCCCACATGTCCTCCCCCCATTCTTCTCCCCTACTTTCCTGTCTCTCTCTGACTACACTATCCAACAAAGGCACAAAGGCCAAAAAAATAACAAAAAAAAAAAAAATAAGGCATGTAGTGATTTCAGTGAAATCTTGTGATTTTGCGCCTTACAGATAAACACTTCAAGGACTGTTGGGAAGTTCTTTGTTTTTACAGTTTCTGGCCTTGGTGAATAGTGGTATTTTGGCAAGTTTTTTTTAAAAGCAACATGCTTTTCAGTCTCACCAGTGGGTTTTGAGGTTCACAAGGTTAAATCAAATTTGTAATAGTATTTTACATGTGCCATTTGCAACACAAGCATGAAGTTACTGCAAGAAGAGTTTCAGATAAACACTGTGTGACTAGTAGGTTTTTTTTGTTTGTTTTGATTTCCTGTATTTGGAAGAGAAACCATATCTGGGTTGCTTTATGACATTATTTTGATGATAGATATGTCAAAAACAGAAAATGAGACCAGAAAATCTCATCACATTCTTAAAAACCATTGGCCTGTGTAGACTATCGCACGTCACCATCACCGTTTAGATTTTTATCCTGATGTGAACTCACTAAGTCACAGTGAACCCAAGTTCACGGTGGAAACAAAACCTTATTTAGCGCCAACCTCCATCCTCCCCACGCAATCTCAATCTGCCCTCCCATCTCTCACCGTCTCTGCTGCTGACTGTTGCTTCTGTTTTGTGGTTGCTCCAGTGCAACAGAGAAGTGGATGAATGGGAGCTTCAGCTTGGCTTTTTTTAGTTTTGCTCATAGGTGAAGCCGGAAACGGTTGAAACCTGTATTTTGTGGGTGAAACAAAAAAAAAAGTTGATAGGATCATGTGTGTTTGTGTGTGTTGTTTTACTGTGAAGCCGATGCTCGTTATAGCTGATGGATTGCTCCATGCGCCAATAAAACTGGGTAGTTCTTTAGCAAAATCAGCTTTTCTTTTAACACTTTAGGAACGCAACACCACCCCGATTCATGCTCTCCATTCCTGTAACCAGATACTTTCTCGGATGGCACTAAGCCAGCAAACTCCAAAGAGAATTCCATCGAAATCCACCCGAGAGAAAAAGGGGGAAGCTGCAGCATGTATCTTGTCGATATCTGACCATGGCGTTTATGTAGTCCACTGACCGGAGCGCTGCACGTCCAGATAAACATAGCCTGAGTTTTTGCATATGAAAATGAAGCGTGCAGCTGATAAAGGTGAGGATACAGAAGATGCTGGGTGTTGCTGGATGTGACCCCGGCACTGCTGCTGCTGCAGCCGAGTGTGCACATGTAGTGTGGGTGTAGTGTGTTTAGTGTGTGTGTGCAGGATCAAACTCTCACACCCAGGAAGAGGCCCTGTTTCCCTTATCTAACGACAACAGAGCATGTGTCGCCATGGCCACAGGCTGTGCTTTTTATGGGCTTTGTGTGTCTGTGTGTGTGTTTGTGTATATGTGTGTGTGCCATGTTCATTGTTTGCCCATGTTCATTGTTTGCTTGGGGCGTGGTGCAACACCAGAATTGTTACTATAGTCTCTCTTCTCTCTCCTCCTCCTCCCATGCAACTCTGAACATCTACCTACTGCTGCAGCTCTTTCTTTCTTTCTTTCTTTCTTTCTTTCTTTCTTTCTTTCTTTCTTTCTTTCTTTCTTTCTTTTCACCCTTCCTCTGTTTTTAAGTGCGACTGTATTCGTGTGTCTGTCTCATCCTCTCTGCTGCCTTTGAACCAGCAGTGACAACTTGGGCAACATCAAAATTCATTGTCTCAGGTTGAGGTTTGTTAGGTCGCTCCTACAGCTTAATTGAACAGACGACTGGAGAGAGAGAGAGAGAGATAAAAAAAAAGAAAAAAAGAAAAAAAAAGGAGAAATAAAGAGGAGAAGGGGGGAAGATGAGGAAGAAGGGTGCTCAAACAGGCATACATATTGCATGAGCCCTCACCAGCAGCACCACCACCACACCCCTTTTCTTCACAGAATGGCTGTGTACTGTTCTGGGCTTATTAATTCCGCTCGGTGAGAGAATTATTTTTAGAGACTTGGTGTTCTGGCAAAGGCTTTTAAAGTCACAAGTATTACACATTCTGCTTATAGATTCCCTTTTATTAATTGAAAAGTTCAAAAAGTTTGTTGTGGTTGTTCTCCAGTGTGTATGTTTTTTGTTACACTTTCACACATGTATCGCGGTGGTTTTCTTGAATATTGATTGAGTAGAAGTAAAGTTAAAAAAAGGGGAAAAAAAGCGAGCTACATCTTATATTATTTACTACATACTGCATGCATTACAAAATAAGATACACATGAGTAAAGGTCAGTGTAGAAATAGTGCAAAAATGTGTTTTTATTTGCATTTATCATGTATATTATTTAAGTAATTAAATTGCGTTCTAACATTGCAGCTGCAGGAGTTCAATCTGTAACAGTGCATCATATTTTGTTCAGCTTTTTATGTTAAATCTTAATCTATAGCAAAGAAACTAGTTAATTTCTCTTCGTATTTACTTATTAAACTCTTAAAACTCACACAAATATACACTATTATGCATCAATGTGTGAACACATCAGCAGATAACGCAACACAAACATCTACTTTTATTCAAAGATAGTGATTTATGATGTGTATTATGTATATCATTGAATTTGCATCCACAGCAGTTCAATCTGCGCCATATTTTTTTCGGCTAATTCTGAAAAATCTTAATTTGCAGCAAACTATATGTGCTGAATACATGCAGTGGAGAAAAAAACGTGTAGTTTTTCCTTTAAAATGTAGCAGAAAAGAGATTGTACATAGCGTAACATAGAAATTCTAAATGCCTCAAACTTTTAAATAAGCCCACTCCTCACATAACTTTACTTTTTGGCCCGTGACAAGCCTTTTGAGTTCATGATCAAATGTTTTACCAATCATAAATATCAGCAGACAATTAAAACAAGTTGCATTTGTGTATTTCTAACTGTAATTTGAGTGTTTTTTGAGTCCAATTTTTTTTTTCCTCATCATTTTAAGATAATTTTTCTCTGAAATGACCGGGCAGTTACGGCGTCACACAGGCGCACCAGCAGCTGATCTTCACCCGACCATCTTCCCAAACAGATGTTGCCTAGAAGGCTTAGCGAGGAGCTTATATGAATAGTCCATCAATCAGAACCCATCTTCAGTGGAGTCTGTAATATGTTCCTCCAATCCTCGCCTTCAACCGTCTCACCGGTGCACTCCACGAAGATGAAAAGATCCCAGCATTGTATTGCACCATTAGCACTGTGTAAATATTACATGTTTTCCCTGGATATGCTAGTTAGCATTACTTCCACCATGTGGCTTCATTATTTTTGAAACGCTCAGCTTTGTCGATGATTGCGAGGCATGACCTAGTTCTGGGACTCACTCGCTCTCTGTCTCCCTCTGTCACTGTCTTTTGCTTTCTCACTTCTCTTTCCTCATCTGCTCGCTCTCCGTGCTCTTTTTCATGCTCTCTCCACCTCATTTTCTTTCTCACACTGAATCTGTCTATTTTTTTTTTTTTTGTCATTTATTCATTGTCTTTCTCCATTTACTGCCTCAGCGTCGCCTTCATCCTTTTAGTCTCTCTTTTCTACCTCTGTGTTACTCTCATCCTCCCTCTCTCTCATGTATGCATTCTTTATTTCTCAATTTGTCTCTCTTCCACAACCTATTATTATTTTTCTCTGTTCTCACATCTCCCCTCTCTCTCTCTCTCTCTCTCTCTCTCTCTCTCTCTCTCGCTACCCCTCCCTGCCTCCCTATCCTTCTTCTCCATGTTTTTTTATTCCTCTCTACCAGCACCACGTGTGTCACGGAGGGAAACATCGCGAGCAGTGGTCCCTGCTGAACAATTACCATGCAAAGCAATCCAAATAGAGATGTTTGCCGAAAACAACATGTGTGTAATTACTGCTTAATGAGGCCCTTGTCTCAGGCAGAATGCCCAATTAGACTGCCGATGAGGAAGCGATGCCAAGGCCCGCTGAAGAAAGAGAGGAAAAGAGGGGGATAAAGAGGGGTAGGGAATGGAGATGGAGGAGTGGAAGAAGAGAGAGGTGGGGATGATGAGAACGGCGAACAGAGAAGAGAGAAAGGAGGAGGTGAGGAACAGTGAGAAGAGAAAGATGGAGAGATTGAGAGAGAAGAGAAAGATGAAAAGAAAGGGGAAGATTTCTGCAGTGTATGTGGAGTAATGGCAGAGCTGATAGCATTGAGCCGAGGATAAATTGGCATTTTAAGTGGGAGAGCGAGCAAGTGCAAAGGAGAGCCATGGAGAGGAACAAGTGGAAACAGCTTTACATTACAATATATGGGCAGCCATGTTGAAGCACAAAATGGCTGACCTTTCCGTGGCTTGTTTTGGCCTTTTTTGGTAAATTTCGCATTACACGTGTAATTGGTAAAGACGTGGATTATCTCACTTCATTTCATCCTTCGGAGCAGAAAGACACAGTGACAAGGCTCTGCACTCGGAGAATTGAGTTTGCAAAATTGGGCTCTAATGTAAGACGCGTCGGTGTTGTTGGGGTGAAAAATGGCATTGTTCAGTGGCCGCACTCCCTTTTCACCCGAGAGAATCTTATCCTAAAGAAGCTCTCAGAATGGTTTTTTACGTCACCAGTGATATCAAAGTGGATTTCAATGGAATGAAATTGCTCAGTTAGGAGAGGACAAGAGGCTTTCATGTGAGGAGTGAAGAGTTTATTGCAGATGTGTCACCAAGGTCAACATCACTTTGGCCCTCTCACTGAGCTACAGTCACTCCTCGCCGCCGTTCAGTCAGGTGATAGACGCTGCCGTGCTTGATTAAGCAAATTAGCGTCTTTATCTGCGGCTTGTAGCGCCGAACAATTAGTCAGCATTCACTTGGTATAAGTGTTTAGTTTAGTTTTTTTATTTCCTGCTCGTACAGGGCTTTTGGATTAATCATGCAAGGTGTGAATGAGGCTTAAATGCAGCGTGTATGCAGCTCTTTTCTCAGTTTCATGTTTGTGGTTGAATGTAAATGTAATCATTAGAATAACCAAGTGAATCCTCACTAGGGCTCCCACGATATGCATCGTTAACCAACCATTGCCCCGAGGCAGCCGCTCATTCCCCCGGCCCTTCTCCTGCAATAATGTACAGTAATTTCTCTTTCTCACCACTCACATGCTCATTTAGCTACTTCGACTTTTTCCTGTCTACCAGTAAGATATTAGATTCTCCCTCCCTCTCCTCCACCCCTGAGGAATTCTGCCCATTTCCGTCCATTAGCCTACCGATTTGGTCATTGTTTTGAGCAGGTATACCTTCTGATCCACTTGTGTGCAGCATGTGTTTATCTTTGAAGCCGTCGGTCGCTTTCTCCGTAGGCACAAAGCGGACCACCTCAAATGAAAAAGGGCCCCCCTCCGCCGTATCTTCACATCTGAGGAATTTGACATGGAGTGCTGTCGGGTTTGATCATGTTGTTCCTGCTGTCTGTTCCTGCGTTGATATTACAAAGAATGACCTCAGTCAACAAACAAAACGGGGGCTTTAGTTGACACATTGGGCTTCTCGGTGTGTGTGCTTCATGAGCGTTATTACCCAGTCTAGTCAAGGTTTGTTTCATTTGCCCGCACAATGTGGTATGACAAACCTTGATGCCTTTGGAAGCCAAGGGCGTTTCACAATGCAGCTCCTCTTAACATGGTAGCAGTTTCTCAGTCACCTTGACACTGCACAGGTTCAGTTACGGAGCCATTTGTGGGACGGAATCTCATTTTCTCTGCAGCTAAAAACAGAATCTGTGTTGTTGTTGTGTTTTTTTTTCTTCATTTGTAGCGCACTCAAAGGGATTTAGCTCAGTAACATACTACACATCAGATTTAGCGTGTTGCATGCAGCTCTCAACTGGTGACCCGGTGTTGTTTCCCAGCACCCCCGGGGGTCAAAGGGTCATTTGTTGTTACGTGAGTCCTAACCTCGTGTCAAGCAGTGTTTTGGCACCTGCAGCAAGTGATCTTTTACTGCCTGATTAGCTCGGTCCTGAAGACACAGCATGCCCTCGCGCTAACACACAGCCACAGTGGATGAGACGGGGCCCGCACACACTTTACCACTGTATGCACTCGCAGATTCATTCACACTCATTCTCTTTCTCACACACGCAGCAGAGCCCACAGGGAAAAGCCCATCTCTCGTCACTGTGCTCATGTAGCCTAATTACCGGCCCGCTGACGAACAGTAATTACCCACGCTGCCATGCCACCACGAGGTTTAACCAAAGTGACAAAGTCATTAGTCTCACACTTCAGGCCACCCGTAAAGAGCTTTTCCTCCTCGTACCTCCCCAGACCCCCCTAACCCTTTTTTTTTCTCTCTCTCCCAAACCACTCTTGCATACAATGTTTATTTCTCCTTTCTGTTTCTGTTCACAGTTTGATGGTGACAACATGTACATGAATGACAATAACCAAGAGTTTCGGTCACCAAACCAGGTAAGAAAGTCTTTTCCTATAAACCCCACAGACTTAAATAAACAAATAAATGTCCGAGTTTCAGCTGGTGTAAGCATTTAAGAGGACGAGCTTCAAGAATTATGTGTTTCGGTATATGTAGGAAAACGACAGTGCTGGTTGTAAATAGGAAATAAAAGTGGGAAATGGATACGCTTTGTTGGTTATTATGAGTGGAAAACACAAGTCACAGTGGTGTGTCACCTTTTAGCGCTGCCATTATTGGCTATTATAGGCACGATACATCGACATTATATCTTCTATCAGTGAAATTATACCTAAAGAGAAAATGATGTATATTTTTAAATTGAGATTGCCATCCAAAGTGGTTTTACTGCCGAATAAATTGCTTTCCAGTTTTCTTAAATCTATAAGTAATTGGATCTATTCGGTCTAAACTAGTGTCCTTTGCAAGATCTCATGTGGAAGCTTTTAATAAAATTCAGCAATGTTCAAATAATAAATGAGTAAGCCTTGAAATGAGCATCACTCCAGAAAAAAAAAAAAAAAAAAAGGCATTCACGAGTCATGAGTTTGACCCTTTTTCTCTTAGAGGAACATTTAATGCCTCATAAGCCAAAATATCCCTTTAGCCTCCACAAAACACATGCCTTTTGATAGATGATTTTATCCAAAGCACATTATCATATCTTTAGCAGCAGACGGATTTAACCATCAGCCCTGACGGTTTTGGGCTACACAAGTTGCTCACAGCTTTAAAAAAAACAAAACAAAACAGCCATGATAGTTCACCACTCCAAGCTCACTGAAGCACTGGTCCCAGTCTGGAGCGGCGCGGTCCCAGTCACAGTGAGTTAGACAGGCACAGTGCTGCTGAGTGCTCCCAGCTGGTAGATGGGAACACATGGCTGGACATATGGCAGAGTTTGGAGCTCCAAGATTTGTTGATCCAGCAGCGGGGCCTTCATGTTCTGACAAAACACGATGAGGTGGAGGCTCCACGTCAATTAGCACCTCGCCAAATAAGTCGCCGGACAACGAGGCGAGGCCAAGGACGCCGAGGCACACTTTTACCGTAACAGGACGTGACACGTTCTCTGACACCAGGTTATTCATAAGCACATGTGCAAGTAGACAAGTATTTTCGCTCACATGCTTTCTCGTAAGTTCTATACTCGTGAAGACGCATCGACACACATTTTCTTACCTTCCGTGGTGTCTGCACGTACTTTTGGATTGAAGCGTTGGGTCGTCTTCCTCTAAAACTTCATCGACCACAATACTAATGAAAGAAATACGTGGTTCCCTGAAGGTTAAAATGTCTTAAACCCTTAGATAGTCTCCATAGACTGCCCTAAATACTTTAACCACCTTCCTCTTTTTTTTTTTCTTGTGTTTAATTTGTGTAACTGACCCATTAAAGTGAATCTAATTATGCCACTAACCCTAACAACGTGTCTCTAGCAGCCCCTTTGAAGAAGTGAAGACCGGCCAACATGTCCTCACTTTCCAGAAATGTGCTTACTCTCGTGGTGTAAAACTTAAATTGGGCCTTGCAAAGATTGACGAACGAGAACATATGTATGCGCACTTAAACGCACACATATATAAACTCATAAACCCACACGTGCTCTCATAAACCCACCCAAACACACACACACATACGTACACACACACATACCATCATCCTATAGCCATAAGGTTGTCTTTTCTTTGATGTTGGGATTGAGTGACTATAATGAGGGGTCGAGTGGGAGCTTTAGCAGCTTATTGTCTACTTACAGCACACATCAGAGACTACGAGGTCCGTCGTTGTTAGCCACGTTTCCCGCTCTGCCCTAATTATGTCACTTTGCATGCGTACATGGGTGTGTGCTAATTGGGATAAATGTCCAGCTTTGTAGTTTCGCGGCCGCAGCGGTCATGTGTCAATCACCGGCGCCCACTCCAGGTTTGCACTGTTGTGTCAACAAATACCTTCTTAGTGGATAAGGCAATTTGGGCTTTTCAAAACATGTCAGTTGCAGTTGATGCTCTGTCAGTGCCGTCAAGTAGAAGCTTACACACCAGTTTCTGAATAACCCTCTGAACACAGAGTTCACTGTTGGCCTTCCAGTCCTTTCATAGAGCACGTTTAATTTGAGATTTGAAAAGAGGGAGGATGTGGGCTTTTGATTAGAAGTTACTGGTTGGAGTTGTCAGCTCAATTCCTCACCTTCTAGCTGTTATAAGTATATTAGGGTAATATATAAATAAAAGTCTTCACACATGTTTGGATAATTGATGGCAGTTTTTCTCCAGACCTTTCAGTGTGTCAGATTTGTTGTTTTTCTCTCCTTTTAGTTCAATATCTTCAGGTTTTTAGCTCTGGGAACTTGTGATTTTTTCGCTATATTCTCACTGATCTTAATCCTAAGCTTGAGCCCTATTGACAAATAGAGACGATGACAAATTCGAGGAAAAATCAACTTAAAGTGCAACACTTAGTCGGGCCCCATCGTCATTGATTTTATGTAACTCCACTGAAGGTTAAACACCATTTTTTCAAAAGAGGTTTGCTCATTTGGTGGTTTTATGATGATTTTGGAGAGCGCTGGCGATCATGTCAGTCTCAAATCTCCCATTATTGTTCAGTTTGGTTGAGATCTGGTGACTGCGAAGGCCATAGTATAGGATTTGCATTGTTTTCGTGCTCATCAGACAAGTTCACGCCTTATGGATGGAGGTATTGTCATCCTTGAAGAGACCATTCCCATCCAGAAAAAGAAGGTTTCATCTCAGAGTTAAGATGATCGACTTGATTAAGTGAATTCAACACAGTCCCCCCACAGCATAACAGAGCCAACATATCTTTTAGGTTTCGGGGTCAAGGGTTCTGGTTTTTCCTTTAATTTGTCACCCTTCTGTGCTTGAGGTGTTTATACCAAGGAACAACATTTGCTCAAGTTTGACAACGTACAGTAAATACTTCCAACCCCCACTCCTTCCTTTTTTGTCAGTCGTGTTAGGACTTTCCAAATCATTACGTTTTAGCGGTCTTGTGCATAATTTTCTCTCGTAATTCAGCACGTCCTGTGGTGCAATAATTTTCCTAGATCTGAATACTTTTGGGGGCTTACAATGATTATCCCACCGAAGGATCTGAAGAAGTTTACCCATAAATATCTTCAAAGCCACCGCATCCATGGAATGCCTGCATTTTCTTCTTTTTTTTGCATGTCATGCAAAATTCATCACTCAGACTGCTTGCTGTGCATGTGAGTCAGTCATTTTTTAATTGATGCCTAATTGTATGCAATAGCTGTGCAGCGGTTTGGTACATAGGGTTCGCTTTTGAAGTTAAATCGGACAATTTAGAGGTTCAAATATGGAGTGATTTTCTGAAACGGTGTCTAGTTAATGTGCTGAGAACATGCTTACATCCTGGTGTGTGTTTACAAAGTATAAGTACATATATATATATATACACATACATGTAACTTACAGCATGTGTTCTGCATTTTTTATGAGGATTCAAGCATTCTCCAGCTGTGTTTGTAGAAGATGGGTTCTTTTCTGTTTATTCTGTGGGAGTTGCACTGCAGTAACACTTTCATTCCTTGGTACTGAGGACAGAAGTACAGAACCTTTGCAACTGGTCAAGCATATCGTAAAATGAAGGAGCCCATATGCCTTAATGCAAGTTTTAACACTGCGGTAAGATGCCCACCCGAGCCTTTACATGATGTGTGCCTGTGAAAAAGGTGCATGTAGCCAGAACAGAGGCTCCTTTGTTTGCATGTCTGGGGTCTTCCACAGCATACACACTGAAGTAGCAGTTTGACACAGCCAGAAGATTGCATTACACATAACATCTCTGGGCTTTTAAAAAGAGAAAACCGCTAATCAGAAACAGCTTTAAAGGGGGCCGTTCGCTGTATGCTTGGACACAATCTGCCCATTCAAACAAGATGTTTTCAAGGCTTTTAAATACTGTACGGTTTCTGTACAAAATATGCATACGAACAGCACATATGGAGCTCCGAGACAGTTTGATGATATTAATGTTTTCCATTTGGTTCATCTGTTGAGGTTTTTCAGCTTATAAGCAAAAAGTGTGGGCGGGTTATTTTGTTGACCGGCTTTGTTTGTGTCCGCCCACACACAAAGCTACTGAGGGGATAGCTTGTTGAATTAAAGAATATTAAACATCTAAATTATCCTGATTGACTGGAAATGTTCGTGGTTTTAGGTCTCTCAAATACTCTGGTTCCAGACCTCTAAAACGCCCGCCCATAACTTGGATTTTTTTTTGCAACGATTTGTGTATTTGCACAGCTCAGATTGGAATCAAGCTGTCATTTTAAAATGATTTCTAACAACTCTTAAATCACAACGTCTTCTAAAAGTGTAAAAAAGATTCTTTAGCAACCAATACTGCAGCGACTGAAAATGAACGACACATCAGTCCCCGAGCGCAAAACACACCCCGTTCCAAGATAGAAAGAAAATGAACTTACTTTCAGACTTAATAATAAAGTGAAAATGGCAATTCACTCATTATCAGCCTATCACTCATATATATGTAAAATAATGCTGGCTGCGGTGTATATTTTTGCAGCTCTGCAATAGCAGCATGCCAAACCAAAATGGCTTCCTCCAGCCACGCCAACACAAATTCTAATTCTGAATAATGGACAATAAGTGTTCTTCATTTGGATTCATATCAGGCCTGATCAGTCTGAGTGACTACGCAGACTTAGACCGCCGTGTGTATTTCTGTGTGCTTTGGCCGCCCCCCGCTCACCCTACAGTATAATCAGTCAGTCTGGATGCATGTACATGTGCGTGTATGCATACGATAGATGAAGAACAACTCTTGAAATAGAACCAGGCTAGTAGTAGGAAGCAGAAGAGTTATTTTACGTGTTCTACATCTCTTTTCCTCTCTCTCTCACATGTTGGACTTGTTGCATTGTATCCCTTTGCGAGAAAAAGGGAAGCTCAGGGCCACCGGTCTTTGGAGAAGCAGCAAGTTTCAG